TCTCTCCCCCCTCTCTCTCCCTCCCTCCATCTCTCTTGTCAGTGCATGTTGAGGCAACTACTCCACCAGCCTCTTTATTTGCCTGAACTGTCAACGCCGAATGAATTAGATTTATACCGTGTCTTTTTGGCATGAGAATACACACAAAAAGGCTGAGGTGACTTACCACCCCGTGAGGGGAGTGGGGGGGGGTGTGGGGTGGGGGGGTGGGGCGGCTAAATAAATATTTCATGAAAAAAACTAATTGCAATCAATTGTTCTCATCATTAAATCATTGAATTTGCCATAGCTGCTCTAAAGAAGTTTACCAAAACAGATAAAACTAGAATTACTTTGTAGATACCCACAGCTTTTTTGCGGATTTAGCATGAGACAGTAATCTGAGGCTTTATCTGTGTCAATCCTTTTTAATAAAATCGAAAATTGAAGTAAGTATTTCTGAAAAATAGTAGATTTATTTCAAACAACATTAATAGTATGATAGATGATTCCCTTTACAACTAAACAATTTTTATCTGAGCCATCACTAGTCCTTGAGACCCAATTATCTCGACCTCTCACATGGTTTGCGCTTGAAGTGTTTGATCCTACTGCAACCTCAAGTTCAAGATAGAAAAACCATCGTATGACCTCAAGTGGTTTATCTTAATTATAAGGATGAGCTAATTCATTGACCCTTGAGTGAGCGCTATTAAGGTTCACAGTTTGCACCGACAGAGATTTGTGGAACCGTTCTATATCTGTTTATGTTATCCATTGACCATGAGCTCAACACATCCATTTTATGCTCGCACGCACACAATCTTCCTCTTTGGTTTCAACCCCCACCCCACCCCACCTCTTACTAGCTCTGTTCTCTATTACACAGTCGTATCCTATCTGATGGTACCAATAGATTGGTGACCCTCTTAGCATTTACCCAGCTAATTAACTGTGTCTGTTACTCCGATATGATTCCTGTACCACGGCATTTAAGTCTATGTTCTGCATCCTCTAATTTTCTATTCTCAATATCGCCGCTCTCCTATTCTTATGCAGTTATGTGCCAATTCCTACTGGTATTGGCATGCGCGAATTTAATGTCTGTTGGGGATTACTTTTGAGAATGTCTTGATAAATCTTTTCTTCATCTTTTTTTATCTTCTATTAAAAGATTACAATTAACTAATTAAAAAATTTAACCCCCTCCCCCCCCCCACCTTTTCAGTATTTTTCTATGAATCAAATATCCTCATACTTTTAAATTTTTTGTGTCAGTGGCTATGAGCTGAGATTCAAGGCCGATTCATTTTAAGGGATATAGGTTCTCGGCAAATTTCCAAATAAAACTTTCACTTGTCTACATTTTCCACTATTTGAACCATAAATGGAAGTATTATAACAGATCAGAGATAGATTATCTCACAGAGAATTAAATAAAAGCCATGCATTGAGGAATTTGAAATCTGACTTCGGGAAGTGGAACGTGTTTCATACTTAGATTGTAAATAAATTCCCTTCTTGCATGGGGAGTTAATTAAAATTGATAACTTTCCAAAATGAAGCACAATTGCCCCAGTTTTATTAATGTCCTAGCATTGGATGAAGTTGAATCTCGAGGGAAAACATAATGTAGTATCTGCATCTCTTGAAGATTTTCAAACGAATTTTTTTTAATTTCTAGGGCATCTCCAATTTAATAAGTGCTTAATCGATAGTTTAATTATAATTTAAATATTGTGAGTTACATTTGAGGACAAATTTCTTTTCATTTTCACTGAATTTGTATTTTATCTGAAGTAAAATTCGACCCCCACATTATTTCACATTCCACATCTTTAATAGTAGAAAATTATCCTTTTCAGTGGGTTAATTGTGGTTATCTGAGAAGGTCATTTATGAACTTCCTATTTATTCACAACTATACAGGTATGGGCCATGCGATTTATTGCAAAAAATTTCCTTTAGCAGTAGTCAAAAAGACCTTGTCACCTCGGAAACAGCTTAACAAGACACATTTGAATCTGCACGCGTTCAAAAAGCTACACCGTGTAAGTCACAATCCTGCAAGCGCAAAATTCAAGTGACAGAGGATTAATCCACTGCGAAAGCTTCAATTCCACCTAGTATATATATATATATATATTGAAGGAAATTTCCATTTTAATACAAATATGAAACACTTGAAGGAATGTCATCCATAAGGCACCTATTCACCTCCCATTATATGACTTCCAGTTAGAAAGTCACATTTGGAGTCTTGAATGCAAGACCCTAAGACGTTTCTGGCTAACTATGAACCAGGAGACTGATGATAATGACGGACAAAATTATAACTCTCCAACCATATGGTCAGAGAGTTGGGCAAATGAGAGCTCGGTGGAAAGTATTCGACATTAACCTAATCGTTCCCTCATTTCTTAGCTGTCCTCTCCCCTTTCCTCCTCTTAGCTACAAACTCCCATGCCGTGTGACTAAGTGCCCGGTTGGTTTGCAAGTCATGTTCTCTTTCAATCGCTTCTTTTTCCACGCAAACACGTGCATTGCGTACAACCGAAAAGGCAACAGTAGTATTAGCAGCAGCAGAAGCAGCGGTGGAAAAGATTGCGACAGTAGCCGAACCAACGGTAACACATTCGATGAAATAGTCTAGTTAATGGATATGGGAGAGGGAGAGAGAGTAGGAGAAGGGTTGCGGTTTGAGAGTGGATGGTGAAGGCTCAAAAGTTCACACAAACTAGCTCGACGAACATGTATCCGTATTCACGTTTTGGGGCAAAATCCCCTTTTCACACAGACACTCCTGTGTTAAGCTTGCCGATAACGGAAATCAAGTGAACATAATTGAGATAAAATGTAATTAAGCAGGTTGAATTAAGTGTGAGGAAGTCTGGATTTGGATGTTGTAGCTCTAAAATGTTAAAGCTGGCAAGAAATACATGAGGATATTTTCCAAATTCAAACCTTTGATCAGCATTGAATTGTAGATTCTTAAAAAAAGTGGGGAGCTTTATGATAGAGAGACTGAGCCTGAACCATGTTTGACAGTTTAGTATTTGCATTGATATGAGTTTATTTGTAAGCTATGCTTCAACCTGGTCTTCTCACTCAAACGGCTGATTTCCGAATTTCAAGTTGTACGGGCAACCAGGCGGACCTTCTTAGCCTTTTAAACATCTTGAAATTTTCTAGTAGGTTACTTGGGCTGCTGCATAGAGTACGGTGGATTTGTAAAACTTGTAGAAATTTACCCTAAATTGAAATTATTCATTTAAAAAATTGATTCAATGCATTAGTAATTTATCATCAATCACTGCCATTAAAAGGAGATATAATGCCATGTTATATTTTCCAGCTGAATTTGAAATATATATATATATATATATATATATTCTGACTGTTTTCTTTAAATATTTTGCAAGGTAGGATTCTCAAAATGACTTTAAGGTACATCGTAAATAAATAAATATGGCGATTCGAAAGCCATCCGTGTTTCAACAGGAAGCTCTGAATTAGGACGGAGGTAATGTATTCTAAAATCGTTCTATTAAGAAACTCGGTTTTAATTATTTCTCGAATTGACCACCTGTGGAGTGGACTTCCACATCACTCTGGGGTCCCCGATGAGCATCCATCTTTTGACCCCTTACTAGACAGCCCTGCATGTTGACCTAATTGAGCGCTTTTGTTTTGTGTATTCATATCACCTTTTAATGAAATGCATTACCTAAAAATTGACGGAAATTTAGAGTAAATTACGGAGTAAACAATGCAATAATTTATTTTTTAATTTAGCTTCCCCTCGTTCTACAGTGGTAAAATCGCCAATAGATGGTGAGTGTCAAACTCAACATACATATTTATTTATTTATTTGTAATTTATATATATATATATATATATATATCGTTGTGTATGAATGTGTCAACGATGTTTTTGAGTTATTTCCCAAGTGATTTCAATACGAAAAAATTGAACACGCTAATAATGAGTCACATCTCACGTCGTCTCTCCCTCTGTTGACACTTCTCATATGAAACAGAATATGCGAATGGTCTTTAATTGGTAACTGTCAATTTTGCCGTGAGTCTGAGTTGCCATCACCGCGCGTTCTCTTTTTACCCAAGTCGCGAGACGCCTCAACTTTGGCCCAGTGACTCATTCAGTGTTTTCAGCAGCACACTTATTTGGTGAAAACTTATTTTGCCTCTAATTAGGAAATTGATTGTTTTATGGACTAGGCTATGCGCGTATTAAACTATATAAAGAAATTATATAAATTTCAGACTGTAATGTGATACCATGATGTAATTGAGTACACATCATGGCTATAGTTTCTCACATCCATAGGAAGAAGTGAGAAAATCTGTTGCCGTAAAAACCATTCCCCTAGGAAGAAAATTCTTTTACCAATATAGGTAGGGCTAATAATGGAATGATTGATGGCCTAGCTTTGGTCAATAATTGGGACAGTTTTCAAAATTGTATATATACACAAATGATTGTATGAAATCAATAATCGAAGCCTGTAAACTTTGTTCAGGCGTATCTTAAGTATTGAATTTGGGGTACTCGATCTAACCTTTCATCATTGGCGAAAATCAATAGAGAAGCTCATGCCGTTTTCTTTCAAGAATTTTTTTCAAAAATTAACTTATTTATTTATATCAAATGGCAGGCGTCTTGATGGTTATCATTAGCCCTTTAGTTGACTTCAGGCCTCACAGAGAGGAAGGTGATGGTAGTTTGAAGTGAGAAGTCAACTGCCAGTCAATAGACTTTTTGCCGTATGAACATACGTTGCCCAGGGTGCACCACGTGGAGGTAAGTCTATCGCACACCCCTTTTCAAAAATGAAAGTCATCAAATTTTATACAATTGAATAACTGGGTATCATATATAATGAAGAGGTTTTATAGTTGATTTCACCCTTCAACGTCCTTTGGACGGTACGGTCCTCTTTCGAAACTACCTCTACTGGCACAAGACTCGTGACAGTAGGCCCTATTGTTAGTTGAAACATGTTCAATGCGTGTCTATAGCCTTCGTCTGATAGCACCACCTAAATTCTTCCTACCGGCATCAGTCTGCTGAGACGCGAATGAGCTTTAAGGGGTCAATGGTTATAAATGGTAATACTTTCAAAATTTAAAGGATATTGGTAGCGAACATCAGGATCCAAAATTTGAGCGTTCCTACCAGTTTCTGGAGTTTAGGAAGCGACATCTCCGAGGCGACAATTGAAGATATTTCAAAGATTGCAATACTTGTACTTTTCATTACCATGGGTACTCCAAAATACTTACAATTGCTTGATTTTGGTAAGCAATNTAATTATAACAAATGGCAGACGTTTTGATAGTTTTCGTTAGCCGTTTAGTTGACTTCAGGCTTCACAGAGGGGANCATCAAATTTTATACAATTGAATAACTGGGTATCATATATAATGAAGAGGTTTTATAGTTGATTTCACCCTTCAACGTCCTTTGGACGGTACGGTCCTCTTTCGAAACTACCTCTACTGGCACAAGACTCGTGACAGTAGGCCCTATTGTTAGTTGAAACATGTTCAATGCGTGTCTATAGCCNGATTCACAGATTTGAAAGAGACAGACAGACAGACGCAAAGGCAGAGGAAAGGTAAGATGAGTACTGTGAACAGTGGAATATGACTTAGAGTGGGGGCATGGCTTTTTGGCTTTTTTAATGCCTTTTCTTTACTGTATTTTTTGTAGATATGGGTAGTTTAGAATTCCCAAAGATTGATTAAAATTTGCTAAACCGTTGTCTTGGCATGCTTTGACCAGTAAAACAGATAATTTTTCCTTATACCTTCACATCTAGCATGCAAAATGGCAAAAAATGAGTATAAAATATACATGACATTAAGTTTCGTCGCATTTTAGAGACTTCCAAATTGCTCAAGATGAGTTCAGCCAATAAGCAATTTTATTCACAGTCAGCTTATAATTAGTGGTGTCGGTCTTTTTTACTGAAAATGACAGTTATCATTATAAATTGAGTTAAGTGCTGATTTCTTTCCATTCTATATGAGAAGAATGATCTTTACGAAGGAAAAAGCATAAAGAGAGATCTGAATCATCCACGAAAATTAAATTTTAGAATTATTTATTTATTTATTTGGGAGAATAATTATGTGCGATATTTTGCGCATGGAAATTCATTTTAATTAGATTGCCTTCTTAAAAGAGGCAAATTAAAAGCATTTGAAGTTATTTTCCTTATTCAACTTCCTGACTTAAAGAGACAGCTTCTTTATAATTAAAAAGGAACAATTAAAATTTGTCCACATGGGGGTGAATGACTAGGCAGTTTAAGATTAAATTTAACTTCAATTTGAGAATAGTCTAGTAGTACAATAGGAAATTAAAAAATGAATTGCCTGCAAGAAAGAACACATTTCAAGGGAGGAATGAGAGATAGATTCAATGAATAGATATTTAATTTTCGAACCAGAAAATATGAAATAATTTCTAACAATTTATTTGAAACTGTAATGCAACGCGAGAGAATTATATAACGGAGATGGTTGATATACTACTTGAGTATCGGAGTTAAGGGTCATGCACTCAATGGATAAGCAAATCACAAAAATAGATGGAGTATTTAAATTTAAATGTTAATGAAAGATAGAAAGCAAATCAATGAACATTTCAACTGCCACGAAGCAGAAATGAATGTCTGCGACGGGATATTTCATTAGGTAGGAAAAAAACGAGACGACGCATTGGTAACCGAAGTTAGCTCAAACAATTTCCTCAAGAGATTGTTTAAGACAGCAGAGGGAGCTGAGGGTACAGGTATTTATTTAAAATAGGCAGTCAAAAGATCAAAATATTTAATTATATTTCACTCGACGGGTGTGCGATAGACTTACCTCCACGTGGTGCANTGCACCACGTGGAGGTAAGTCTATCGCACACCCCTTTTCAAAAATGAAAGTCATCAAATTTTATACAATTGAATAACTGGGTATCATATATAATGAAGAGGTTTTATAGTTGATTTCACCCTTCAACGTCCTTTGGACGGTACGGTCCTCTTTCGAAACTACCTCTACTGGCACAAGACTCGTGACAGTAGGCCCTATTGTTAGTTGAAACATGTTCAATGCGTGTCTATAGCCTTCGTCTGATAGCACCACCTAAATTCTTCCTACCGGCATCAGTCTGCTGAGACGCGAATGAGCTTTAAGGGGTCAATGGTTATAAATGGTAATACTTTCAAAATTTAAAGGATATTGGTAGCGAACATCAGGATCCAAAATTTGAGCGTTCCTACCAGTTTCTGGAGTTTAGGAAGCGACATCTCCGAGGCGACAATTGAAGATATTTCAAAGATTGCAATACTTGTACTTTTCATTACCATGGGTACTCCAAAATACTTACAATTGCTTGATTTTGGTAAGCAATTGAAGGGGTTAGCAGTACGTGCAATGAATGATAAATGGGAGGGGCGATTGAAGTGTCGCTGCACGACATTTACATTTTAGGTAGTTCATTATCCCAAAATTCAAAGTTCTTTATCCTTCCCTGCATTGGAGCAAATTCTTGGTCTTCAGGAGCCAATGCTTTTAAACATGCTGCTTGAATTCATTTTTACACTTTGTGCAGTCTACATAACAGAGAAGGAAAGGCCACAATTTTTAACTTTATCAAATAAGAACAACATTAACAATGGCTTTAAGCTCCTCCAGAACCCACACAGCTGTGGATCTTATGACAAAATTGGAATAGTTTTTTCCTGGTTTATCACCCAAAATAAATGAGGCTCAAATTGAATTGTGCGTGAATTTAAGTAAAAAGAAACCATGTTTAAATCACTTTTCATTCTGCAAGCCCTGAAACTGCGCAATTACTAAATTAGAGCGCAACCCAAATATCGGCAAAAGACGGTTCGACAATGAGTCTCATTAATGAACCATTTTCGACAGAAAAAGAGTCAATTATGGCAAGAATTATTTGTGTTTGCTTTAAGGTTTTTTGGCTTAAAAGCGAACAAATTACTTTCGATGTAATCACAGATCGTACAAATTTGCTCAAAATGAAGTTGAAAATGGGTATTAGACCAATAGTTGTCCCTTTGACCTACAATAAATAGGGTTTTAATGCTTTCATTTATACCCCGTTGCATAAGCTGGGTGCTAATGACTTTGGATATTATTTTCCAACAGTTCACTTGGTCATAGATGGGGTAGAAAAATTAAAGTCTTCCTAAACGCCAATTAAAATCCATAGGATTCCATGAAGAAGTTGTACCACAAGGAACTAGATTACTACTAACACTGCGACATTTCTGGCTAACCAATTGCATTTGAGGAGTTACACATTTGTGACAAAATTGATAAATGTTGACTTTTGAGGTAAAGATCTTCCACCTACATCAGTCTGGGTTTAAGCTCCTTTAGCAATAATGAAACATCAATGGACACTAGGAGATATCCAACTTTCTTATCCTCAACCAGCTATAATTATATAGATCTATAATACATTTGTTTCGCCATGGAACCCCTAAGGAAGATTTACGAGCATTCAGTTATGGGACTTTAAACATGAAATTTATCAGTGTAGCACTTTTATTTAATCTCATTTCACTATTGGTTTAAAGGGCAAACGTTGAGTTTAGGTTACATAATATCATAGAGTGGTATTGATTTTCGTGTGATAGGTGAATGAATATAAAAATGAGTTAACATACTTCTTTATCATTATTTCTCTAAAATTTGTCAAATTTTTGTCATCTAGAACCATCTGAACACAGGAAATAACAAGATTATTCCGAATGAAAAGAAGCAGATAAGCAAATTGGGTCACTAAGGGTCTTAATTTTAATTCCAGATACTATTCTTTGATTTATTGCCCTGATATGTGGAGCTTCGTAACGAATTGATTTGGTTGAGAGATATGCCATATCTCCTAAATGCAATCAAGAGCAGACTGAATTTTAAATAGTGATATTTGAAAATCTAATTTAATTTAAGTAATTTAAGCCAACCTTTCAATAAACACTTGTTTATGTTAAACTGAATCTTTAGCTACAGAGCCGTCGAACTTCTAAGCCCAAGTGACCCTATAAATAAGCATATTCTAGAGATCGGGAGTTTCTTCTGAAAAAAAGGATAAAAATTTCGGAAATAGCGTTAGCTTTGAATTAGTGCATTTTGTATCGGACATTCCTGTAAACGTGTGTGTCCACAGAATGCGTGATTGTGGTCATTCTGAGGGAAAGAAGTGTGATGGTGCCAGAGTGTCTGGCAAAGGTGTGAAAATTTCCCCGCCTGACGCTATCAATTACGTTTGTCTCCACAAACGCTCATCCCCTTCGTTCCCGCTTTCCATTGCTGTTGAACCGCTGTTACCACTGTTGTGAAGTGGAACAAGAGAAGGGGGGAGGGGGGAGGGAGACAAGCTATGCAGGGGTGGGGGGGGGGGGGGGG